CTTTCCTTGGACAACATCATTGGAGACATATCAAAAGGGGCAACTACTAGACATAACCTGAATAATTTTTGTTTAACTATTGCCTTTGTGTCACAGATAGAACCCAAAAATATAAAAGAGGCTCTTCAAGATGATAAATGGTGCATTGCAGTGCAAGAAGAGCTAAACAAATTTGAAAGGAATGATGTTTAGGAACTCATTCCTAGAAAAGAGAATTATCAAGTCATTGGCACAAAGTGGGTATTCAGAAACAAGCTAGATGAAGATGGAAACATCACAAAGAATAAAACAAGACTAGTTGCAAAGGGATATTGTCAAGAGGAAGGTATAGACTATGATGAAACCCAAGCCCCTATAGCTAGGTTAGAAGCAATTAAACTTTTACTTGCTTATGCATCATTAATGAGATTTAAACTGTATCAAATGAATGTAAAAAAGTTCATTTCTAAATAGTTTTATAAAAGAAGAGGTATATATGTTAGTCAGCCTTCTTGATTTGAAGATTTCCGATTTCCTGATAATGTATATAAACTGAAAAAAAACATTGTTTGGCTTTAAATATTTTTTAATTTTCTCTTATTTCATTACTATAACTAAACCAATTCGTTGGTTGGCAGCTTATTGTTTCCCTCTTTATAAGTGTTATAAGTTATAGTATAATTTTTCTAGGGCCTTCCATGTACTTGTTTGTTTTTGAATGTGAAGATTGAAGCACCTTTGTTGATCTTATCATATTTGGCTTTGCCAGTAATAATTGTCTATCTCAAATAGTAATGCCAGTGGCCGTCTCCAAATATGATAAAAGCTAGTGGGATTTTCACTATTCTCAAGCTTGGTAAGAGACATTAAATAATATCATATTAAACCTACCTGATATTTATTCCCTAATTTAATGATATTTAATCTTTGACTTAATTAATGTATAATGTGTTCAAATTTTTTACATATATTTTGGAGGGTAACCCTGCACTTTCAAGCATCCACCTTCGAATATTTCAAAAAACACAATTCTACTCTTAATTAAAAGTAATTAAAATATTATTATATTTTAATAAAATGAAAATAATTTTTTAGCAGATTTTTTAACAATTTTCTTTTTCTTCAGAAACTGTTGTTTCTCTTTCCTATCTAAATTTCTCTCATCTTTGCTTTCTTTAATTTCTTTAAATATAGCTTCGGCTTTTCTCTACATCCAGGTTCACTTTTTAAATTTTATTTCATTATAATTTTTTTTGTTAATAAATTTTATTATTTGATATGTAAAACTCCAAAAAATTGTATTTTTAGAAGTGGTGGTAGTCTAAAAATAGTGAGACTCAATTATTTTAATATTAAACGGTTTTATTATAAATAATTTTGTTATAAACGAGTTTCATTATTTTAAAACGTATCATCTCTCTAGAAACTACTTTACTATGATTGGGTGTTTTATAAGTGTGTTTAATTGTTAATTTGGATGGAATGATGTTGAGTGTAGTTGTAATTGTGTGCTCTTGATATGTTATACTGTTGCGAATGTGGTTGATGAAGTTGTGTTGTATTAGAAACTAAATTAAAGGTCGTTTTGATGCGAAATGGTTACATCTTTGAGTTTTTAAGTCTAAGAGGAGGGGCTTCCATGAGTGAGTTTGAGAAATAGAGGGTTTCTAGAGTGAACCAATATTGTTTAGGTATTGTCTTAAGGTAGATTGGAGCTTGTTTGATGTATATATTAAGGATTGAAATCTGAACTATAGTGAAAGTGAAGTTTATAGTTGAAGTTTAGTAGTGTTTTGAAAGAAAAAGGAGGTCTTAGGTAGTGAAATGGTGAGAGAAGGATGGTAAAGTGGTTTGAGGTAGTTTGGATCTGTTATGAGATGTTTTGTGATTTTGGCTAAGCATTGAAATGAAGGAAATATGATGTAAGAGTGTTTGTTGGTGGATAGGTATAGTTTAACTTAGTTTAGAACTAGTTTTTAGGGGTTTGGAATAGTGAGAAATTGAATTGTGGGTTCTCTGCTTAAATGGTCTTTTAGAGAGTGTTAGTAAGTCATCTGGGACTTGTTGAAGTCCCTAAGTTTTTTAAAAATAAGCTATAAATGGTATAATTCAATTTAGGTCTATAAAGTGAGGTTTTAGTTAAATTTGGATTAGAATCTTATGATCAATCACTTTAAAATGGGTTTAGGTTGGTCTAGATACATTTGTTTAAGTCCATTTTAGTGTATAATACAATCTACGAGTATTAGAAGTTGGGAAAGATGCATAAAATAGGTTTTGAGGGGTTGAGTAGTGCAAATTTTACAGTTTTAGTATTGCATAATTATGCAGTCTCATTGAGCGGACTCCCTGCTGAGCGAGAAGAACACTTCTAATTGAGCGAACTCCCCGCTAAGCGAGAGATGAGTGAGTAGAACCTAATGTTTCTGTTTTCGCACAATGAGTTGGTGTCCACTGAGCGAACTCTCCATTGAGCGAGAGGTGATTGAGCAGAACCCGCTATATATGCTTTCGCACAACGAGTTTGGTGTGCTGAGTGACTAGTCCATAATCTTTTTTGAATATTTCTTTGTTTTATGATAAGCTTAAGCTATGATTTGACTTTGAGGATGGTGTAGAAATCCTTATAGTATTTTATGAAGGTTTATTCTTGAAGTTATGTATGTATTTGATGTATGATTAAAGATGATATATGTTGGTATTCAATGTGAAAGTAAAGTGGCATGTGCACATGGTTTCAAAGGTGTGTAAGTAAGTTTCAAAGTGGAATCTCTTGGTGAGATTCAAGTATCATTAGTATGAATGCAATGAGCTCAGTCTTGGGGGTTATCCTGAACTCCAATGGTTTTTCATTCTCAAGTAAAAAGGATTGACACATGTGGTGACGAGTACCAGGAGGTCTTAGTCTTGGGGGCTTCCAGTATGCTCCAAGGTCTGGAACAGACTAACCTTGTGAGTGTGGTAGGGTGCAACCCGTTGGCAATGACTTTGCAAAGCAGTAGAGGCCACCATAAGTGCACGACCCGTTACAGCTCGACATTCATACTAAATTTGGATAGTCAATTTAGGTCTTTATATGTTAAGATGTTTGGGTTGATTTATGTGATATAAATGATTTATGTATGATATGTTAAAAATGTGATATGATTTCTTTGATATCTAGCTTACCCTTGCTTCTATGTTGTATGTTGTGTGTTGTTTCTCTTTGCGATAATCACCTAAATGATGTGAGCTTAGGAATATAGTCTTTCCCACTTGTTCCAATAGGAGGTGAGGATGAAGAAGTTGGGAAGTCAGATGATTCTACAAGTGTAGAGATTGTCATTTGTAGGTTTGTTTTTTTAATACAATGGGTCCATTATCTTATATGTAATATTTCGTTTTAGTAGTATTTTACTATTAAAAATGGGATGTTACAATACATATATTTATTTTAATTAATTAATAATTTATATTTTGATTAAATTTTGTTGTTTTCAATTTTTTTTGTTTTCAATTTTTTTCATTTTTTTAATCGTTAAATATGTTTTTAGTTCCTAAACTATCAAGCGAATTTGTTTTTAGTCCCTCTTTCAAAGTAAAGTACATTTTAGTCATTCTATTTAAAAAAAACGTTAATTTTTTATCCTCCTTGGAGGAACAAAAATTAAGGTATTTTTGAATGAGGAGGACTAAAATGTACCTTACTTTGAGAGAGGGACTAAAAAAATTTGCTTGATAGTTTAGGGACTAAAAACATATTTAACTTTTATTTTAATTACATTGAATTATAATTTTTTAATTTTTTATAATTTTAAAATATTTTGTTACTTTTTTAAAGAAATGTTTTTAGAATTTTATAATTATATAAATATTTTAATTAATTAAATTTATTTTGAATTAAAATTAATTGTTTGTAATTATTTAATATTTATTTTAAAAGTTTATAATTTTATAGAATTTAATATTTTTTTAATTTAATATTTATTTAAATCTACCGAAAAAATCATTTAAAATTTTCATATCAATTTTATTTTAATAAATTTATTTTATAATATTTTTTTAAGAAAATGAAAAATTAATAGAATAAATTAAATATTTATAATTAAATTATAAGAGAGAGGGAGAGAGAGGGAGAGGGAGAGGGAGAGAGAGAGGAGAGAGGGAGAGGGAGAGAGAGAGAGGGAGAGGGAGAGAGAGAGAGAGGGAGGGAGGGAGAGAGAGAAAGAGATAGAGAGAGGGGGAGAGGGAGGGGGAGAGAGAGAATGAGGGAAGATCCACTTCCATAATAGGGCTAGTTATGTTCATATGGACAAACAAATGATCAAGCCAAAATAAAGAATTTACTCGTTTGGACACATAATAAATAAATAAAAGACAACACTTTTGTATATTGGAAGAGAACAAAAAGGAAAGATTCAAAACCTACTTCTTTAAACTTTCTAGTTGGGATTTCTATCCTTAGATCATTTCACATTTTCTTGGACTTGTCAATTGAATGTAAATTTTGAATTCTCTGCTCTCATTATCCTTTGTCCCTCTACCTATTTTTGCATATGAGGGATGATCAAGATGGAATTTGTCTCTCAAAGGAAAAATCTACGCTTGCACCCCACTTTTAATGGGTGGTCCGATAACGGGTGGAACAATATGTCCAGCAAACAACAAATATCGCTAGGATATGCTCTATTCATGACTTTGATACCATGTTAGAAGTGGACTTTAAGCCTAACTCAAGCCCATAAAATCGACTTGTAGGGTGAGATTTGCACCCACTTATAAACTATGAATTGGTCTTATCCCTAGTCGATGTGAGACATCCAACAATTAGGAGACGGATATTTAACTGATGAAAGAAGTTCATCTTCACCTAATCAAAACAATATATGTCATTCAGAAAATTCTTCAACTAATACTCATTCCAAACACAAAACTCAAACTAATTTTTTTTGCTTCTTAGCGTCTTTATGACAAACTAACGTTCCTCATTTTGCAGACATTATTTCTTGGCAGCATATCCTTGAAGGGAAATCTGACTAATTTAAGAAAAAACGAAGACATAACTACTATAGAAAAAGTATTGTAAAGATAGGTAGGCTTCTTTGTTCACTTCTAGGTTGGACTGACTTGCTCCTAGATTGGCAAACTCTAAGAGAAAATCAAAGTCTTCCTTTAATACAACTTGCCATTATACTAATTATAGGCAGACCTATTGTTTTTCATGTAATCAACAAACTCATTCACATATTTTAGTTGCAGTTGTTTGTCCCCAACTATTTTACTCATCTCTTGTGCTTCTTTTCTAAGATATTTCCCTTCCTCTTCCGACATCACTGATGTGAGTGCCTTGGCCACCGAAGCCCTAGTAAACTTGGAATCATGCTCATTTCTGTGTACTTTAACCCCTACCTTCTTCTCCTCCATAAACTTAGCATTCGACCATTGATCATATTGGAAAGGCAACATTACAAGTGGGCAGCCCACTTGGAGACCCTCTATCATTGAGTTCCAACCACAGTGAGTGAGGAATGCTCCAACAGATTTGTGTGCTAAAATCCTTGACTGAGGTGCCCATGTTCTCCAAATCATTCCCCTTTTTGACTCATTCTCAATCCAATCCTGTGACTCAACACTACCACCTGAGATGTTTCGATTCTTCACAGCCCAAAAAAAAGGAAAACCAGACAATTCTAATGCCACAGAAATTTCAGTGAAGTCTTCATCACTCAGCTTGACCTCAGTTCCAAATGCTACATAGATCACTGACCCCTTATCCCATTTATCTAACCAGTTAAGAATGGTGTACCAGTTGTGGTCATTGCTGTCTTCTGGCGAAGCTGGAAGCAACCCAATTGGAATTACCAACTTCCCAGATAAACTTTCAAGCGATTTCAGAAACTCACCTTCAATCTCCATGCAGCTTCTTGTAGCGAAAACTTGAGCACCTTTCAGGGTTTCAAAGAACCGATTCACTTCCTTAGGCTGATAACTCTGACCCACTTGCGTCCTCTTATACCCATCATGCAAAAGCTTGGCTTCCGCAGATTCCATACTCTTCTTTCCCTTAAACAACTCCAAACCAAAAGACGAAGCACATGCAGCAAAACAAGAAA